TTGGGGTGCCGAGCCTGTGCCGTGCTGGACCCCATCAGTGCCACTCGCTGGGCCGCGGAGAAGCCTCGGAAGGCCTGCGCCGTGGCCCCCGGACGGACCTCTGGGACTGCGCGGCGGCGCTGCTTGGAGCGTCGAGCTGCCCGTACAAAAGTGGGCTCCACCAGCGCCGCCCTCCCGGGGCCGCGGGAGTGCCTCGAGAGGCCCGCGTCGGGGCCGTGGACCTCTCGGGGGCCCTTGCCCAGAGCCAGCACGGTTTGGTGATGTACGAGCGCACCCTGGGTGGGAAGTTCATCGAGGGGTGGGCGACTAACCTTCCGACGGAGCTTGCCCGTCCCCCCCCCCCTCCTCCTCCTCCTCCCTCCTCCTCCTCCTCCTCCTCCTCCTCCTCCTCCTCCTCCTCCTCCTCCTCCTCCTCCTCCTCCTCCTCCTCCTCCTCCTCCTCCGCCTCCTCCTCCTCCTCCTCCTCCTCCTCCTCCTCCTCCTCCTCCTCCTCCTCCTCTTCCTTTTCCTCCTCCTCCTCCTCCTCCTTCTCCTCCTCCTCTAACCCCCCTCCAGATCCAAGGGGGGGGGGGCGATGATTGCCCCATCCAGAGTAGATGGGCGACGGGAGCTCCAGTGTTTTCAGAGAAGACGTCCTGCGCGGTGGCCTACGCAGGCCGCCAGCGTGTCACGCTGCACTGGAAACAGGGACGCGTGCGCGCGAGCTTGCGCGCGGGCAACTTGCGCGCGAAGGTCGGCGTAGTCGGCCCCGTGTTCGTCCAGCGGCTAAGTGGATGTGCGCCTTCTGCGACACCATCGTCCCTGCCACGGGCGTGATTCGGGTTCAGCTGCACGCGCTGCAAGGCTGCACCTCGAGACCGTTCGGGTCTAGCTGGTGTGGAGTGGATGGTTCGGGCCAGCGGGTCGGTGATGGCATTGATTAGCAAAGAAAGGGCCCGTAGCCCTTTCGGAGAGGACCTAAGCTAGGATGACCAAACACAGAAGGGAAAGGGGGTGTTTTCTGTAGGTCCGTCGATCCCTGATGCACACAAAGACAGGGACCCGAGTGAGGCCACGTCTTCACAGTGTGGTTAGGGTTAGGGGTTCTTTTATTCTCGATGGGCTTAGCTGCCCCGATGCGCGACACGCAACACGTAGCGTACCGATACGGAGCTCAACACGCAGACTGGAAACGTAGATCTTACGTGATACGTTCGCCAAAACCTGGGCGAGTGAGACGGAGGTTTTGAACACGGTACGTGCTGCGTTTCAGAACGGGCATATCGAGGCAGCTAAGTCGATGAGGCGTGTGGGGGGGGAGTGTTGCCACCCTTCGCACGTGCACCTTTCTGGCCCAAACGCGGGCTGCATTCTGGCTCGGCGTGGGAAAACTGCCGTCGAGGACCCGCGCAGCCCGACAACAGAGTGACACACAGAATGCTACCTTGTCTCCTCCAAGGGGAGGCTACGCGAATCTCCAGCGTCGCCATGCAAAATCCGTCGACCCCCCTCGGGCCTCCAAGCGCGTGACGTTGCTCCCCCCTGAGAAAAAAAGCCTACAGTGTTTTCGCCTTCTGGGACTTCTAACAACCAATTTGCACTGGAGGACCTTGCTGAATTTGGAGGCGGCCAGGGGGTCTGAACTGGTTGGGCCCCTGGAAAATCGGCCGGGAGGGGTGAGGCCAAATCTGTTCGAAATCTGTCCCTGCACCCCTCCCAAAGTCCATCAGAAACAATGTTTGACCGGGGCCGCTTTTGACGGTCCCTGGGCACGATCATGGCCCCCGGAGGCCGCAAAGGGCCAGAAGACCTCGAACCTCAGCCCCGCTTCCTGCTCCCTGGAACCAATGCTGGGCCACCTCAGACCCCCAGACGGCTCCAGACCTTGCTGAAGCAGGACCGACCGGGGGGTCGGCGGTGCGGCGCCACCCTTTGAATCTCCAGCGGGCTCGAGAGGGCCTGCTTCCTGGCCACAAGAAGGGCCCGCCGCGGGCCTGCGGCGCCCCAGGGCAAGGCAGAAAAGCACGGCAGGCACAGCGCGGCAGACGAGCAGGGCAAGGCAACCGACGCCCACTCTTTACTCGGCGGTGGACAAACCTCCCTTTAGTAAACCTCCCCTTTGTGAGAACGGCCTGGGACCGAAACCGACGGACCTGGACCCGAAAAAATGACGGCCGCGACGCCCTCTCGCGAACCGAAAACGGCAAATTCCTTAAGCGACGTGCCAGGAAAGGAGGTCTATCCACCTCCGATTTACGTGCTGCGGGCGTGCGCTCCACGAAGCGGAGAGGAATCTTCAGCGGATTGGGCAGGGCCGCTTCCTGGCCGCAGGGGGGCCCGTGGCGAGCCACCGCTGCCCGGCGGGGAGGAGGCAGCACCCCGCCGGGGGTTAGGAAGTCCGCCTCTGGTGGCATGCCGCCCGGCGTCCCCGCGGCAAGCTGGGCCCGCTACCGCGCCGTGGGTTCCATCGAATTCCAGCGGATCCCCATCCATCGATCTATTTCTCTATCTGCCGATCTATCTATCTATCGAGGTGAGCGCGCGACAAAGCCAGCTGCACCTCAACAGGCCGATCGCGCAATCAGGCCCAGAGCTCCTCTCCCTCCGTACCGAGGAGGGAAACACGCTCAGGCGGCCTCCAATGATCAAGTTGATGGGAGCGCCCTGCGTCCTGATGGTTGCCCTACGCTTCCTCACCCCCTCCTGCACGTCCTCGTCCTCCTCCTTCGGCTCATGGCTGGTACTGCTAAAAAGATTCCTCCCCCTCCTTTCCTCGTCGTCCTTTTCGTTGAGCGGACTTTTGCAACGGGCCTGCAGAGTCAGTGCCCTCTTCTTCCAGCTTCTCATCCTCCGCCTCCTCCTCCAAATACTCCTCCTTCTTCCCCTCCTCTTCCTCCTCCTCCTCTTCCCCCGCGCCGGGTCTCATCCCACCTCATCGTTCCTGTCTTTGTTTGGCGGCGCGCAGAATGGGGTAGGGGGAATGGGGGAGGCTTCTTAGACGGAGGCTTCTGCTTAGAAGGCGCAGGCTTCACATCTGCAGATGATGCCCGGGCCTTCTAAGAAGCAGGGGTGCTTCTAAGAGACCTTCCCCCCTCCCCCATTACCCCCGTCTGCGCGTGGCTGACCTCCCCTCCTCCCTCCGCTCTCCCACTCCTTCACCCCCCCCCGTCCCCCCACCTTTCCCCCTCCGCCCTCAAGCCTCTGGAGGCCGCAGGCCGCTGGATGCCTCCGGAGGCTCGGAGGCAGGCTCAGCAAGGGCAGCAAACGAAAACTGTCGAAGACATCGGTCCTCAATCCGCAATATTCCTTCTCCCCATCGGGGCGACGATGGGGGCGAGCATCACCTCCTCATGACCCATAGGACAGGATCCACGAACAAACCGTTTGACAAAAAACATCGGGCGAATGTCCAACATTCCCGACTGAAGCGTGCGGACAAGCGATGGCCGATATGCAAATTCAACTCTGACACCACCGCCCGCCCCGCAACGCGGACGGACTAATTATGAGCTGTTCTTGGTGAGTCACTACTTTGTTGCGCGCGCGTCATCCCCCCCGCGCGCGAATCTCCAGCGCGCGCCAATCCCGCCGCGCGCCATGCGCGCGCGAAGACATCAGCACGCGCGGTGAATCACAGCGTGGGCGCAAGGCCTTCCTGGCGAGCGGGACGCGCGACGACAAATCGCCCGACCAAACCGCTTGACGAATTTGCTCCGTGGCCAGCATCCACTTTGCGTTTGCAAAGCCGATGGCGCTCCCGCAGTTTGTGTTGCACGCATTCCGAAATCACGTTGTCGCCGCCACTTCGGATTTTGTTGCGGCTCTGCGCCGCTGGCGGATTTTGTCGTCTGTCGCTTTTGTTTATCGTTGGCAGTGTTCTCTTTCAGTTGTTTGACCTGGTCGTCGGCCGCCCTTTTGGGTCGTCGTATTTTGTCGTCGGCTCTTTTCTCGTGTCGTCGGCCCCTTCTTTGTCGTCTGTTTTTTGTGTCCTTCACGGTCTGATTCAGAAGACTAATCGGGCTCTTCAACATGTTTGGGGTCCTTCGCATCCGGAACAATTTTCCATTACCTTTCACGTTTCGCACGTCCCCATCACCCCGTCTGGAAAAAATGTCCAGGCGTAGCTCATGGAATTTCGATTCTTGGTCCTCGCCCACACCCTTGAGAGACCGCGCGCAACCGCTGGGAAGGGGCTCAAAGCTAACAGCGTTTGAGACGCATGACGGGCGCCATAGCTTCATTCATAAAAGACAGATGAATGCGATCAAAAGAAGTGTGTCATTCGTCGTGTTGCGATCCTATGGAAATGGAGGGAGTGACGAATAGCCCGATGGAGAGCAATACATGTATCCAAGGGCGTCGATGGTCCATGCCTTCAGCGAGGCTCCCGTGCGAATCCGTGTAATGCTCGCCCGCGGGCCACTCGCCCCTGTCGTCGCCTCCGGCCCCTCCCTGGGAGCCCGAACTCCAGGCTCCCACCGTGCCGCTGGATTGTACCGCAGGCCCGTCGCGGCGGGAAGCCCCGTGGGTCGGCCCGAAGGGCCGCCATAGCAGAGCAGCCGGGCTTGTCCATGACTGTGGCACCGCTGCCGTTTCGGCCTTCAGAATGCTCAGGCGGCCCGTCAATAGGGAGACCGAACGAAAAATATCTATGCCGCTACTTCCCGGGCCCCTCCCGGGGGACGTCCTGAGGACTTCGAGGCGAATCCAGCCGTGGCGACGAGGGTCTTCCAGGACGGCAAGAAAGGCAGAACGAGGCAAGGGTAGCGGTATGGGTACCATATCCTCCCCAGTGTCCTCCTCCTCCTCCTCCTCCTCCTCCTCCTCCTCATCTTTCTCCTCCTGTTTTTTATATTGCGCAGACTCGATGCAACAGCATGTAGCGTTAAGCCCTCCTCCTCCTCCTCCTCCTCCTCCTCCTCCTCCTCCTCCTCCCCCTCCCTCATCATCACCATCCTCTGAAGAAGAAACAGAAAAAGGGGAAGAACGCTTCGGCGGCCCGTGAAGCCCATGAGCGTCGCCTGTCTGGGGCGGAGGGGCGCTCATCCCCGCGGCTTCGAGGCGGCGGGCGCTGCCTGCGGACGGGCGCCTTGAGCCGCTGCCCCGGCTGACGGCAGGCCAGGCGTTCCCTGAGCCAAAAAAACGGCTCGGGGACGAGTCGAGGGGCCCGGGGAGACGCAAGCAAATAGACACACACAATCCCAGGATTCCCCATCTGTCCCATACCTTCTGGATCTGTGTACGTCTTCCCCTGCACTTCCCACAGTTTCCCATGCTCTCATGGGGAATGGCGCTGAATTGGTGCCTGCATCTGCTTTCCCCTCCTGCACGAGGGGTGGCGGTGGGGAGGGGGGGCGGGGAGGGCCGAGATTGTCTTGCATGATCTCTGGTAACAGTCGTTGCCTGGGGCAGGGGGGGGGGGGGGGGCACGTCGGGGCAAGGGTGCGCTGCTGTCGCCAAAGTATGCGCGCGAGCGCCAGCATGTGGAGGAGGGGTCTAAGCCCACCCCCCACCTACATACGATCGTAACCGTTACCAAGGAGGGGGGGCGGGTAACGACCGCTGCGCGCCAGAGGATAAACAGCAGTCTCGCGAGGAGGAGGAGGAGGAGGAGGAGGAGGAGGAGCAACACAAAAAGAGAAGGAGGATGAAGACGAGGAGGAGGAAGATATGGAGTAGAGCAAAGCAGATCCTCATGGAGTCCCTGTCTAGACTTCCGAAACTGAACTTTGAGAAGGTTCCTTCGAAACCAGACGAGGTTCAGGAGGAAGCAACTGGTCGAGAACTGTTCGATCACATGGGTCACCCTGCTGTTCTACGCACCCACTGCCTTTCATGGGAGACTCCCCAAAGCTCCACGCTGCCCCGACCAGTGCCTCGAGCCGAGTCCTCGCAACGACTATGGCCCACGGGAAGCCGCACAGAGGAAGAGGAGAATGATGAGGAGGAGGAGGTTCAAATTTAGCGCGTTGGGGGCGGCTCCGAACGGCATGCCGCAAGACTGGTGGTTATCGACAGGACTGCTGCGGAAATGCGGATGCATGGCCAGGCCACGATCTGCCTTGGCCTGCCCGGGCCGCCTCGCTGGCCCACCCCACCCCTTGCCGTCGCTCGGACGTCCATCCCCCGTGTACGTTTCGGTTTCGTGCGTGCTTCTTTCGCTGGATGATCCAGGATGCTCCTCGACGGTCCTCGCCGAGAAAAAGTGCACACGTCCGAGCGACGCCAAGACTTGAGCAGGGATCGACCGTCCCGGCATTCCTATAGGCCTACCACGGAATGTTCTTCTTCGAACCCAGACATGTTCTCATAACGAAAACACTGTTCTTAGAACATAAGCCCGATGTGATGAAAGAAGGCAGTCCCAGCCAGACATGTTCTAAGGAACATTCCGTGGAAACCACAGAAGGTTCTTAGAACATTGTTTGGGAGGCCTGTAGGCACGCCAGGACGCTTCGCCACTGCTTGAAAGACCCGCCTCGTGCGCGCTTCTGTCGCTGGATGATCCAGGACGCTCCTCGACGGTCCCCGCCGAGAAAAAGTGCACACGTCCGAGCGATGCCAAGACCCGCCTCCCCCTCCCCCGCTACTGCGGGCGTACCAGGGGCCCCGCTGCAGGGAGCCCGCCCGCTCTCTGCTGCCTGGGCTCCTGCTGCGGGGGCGAGGCGCCCCTGGCCGCGGGCAGCGCCGGCGAGCGGGCTCTGGCGCAGGGGGGGAGGGCACGGCGCTGGGCCGCCTGAGGCATCGGCGCGATGTTTCTGGGAGGGCGGGGAGGCGGGCGGGAGATTCCCCGCAGCATCCGAAATAACGGAATAATTCCGGAGAGGAAGCAGTCGAGCGATATCGTGAGCACCCCGACTACTTTCATAATTCCTGGGGGTGCGGTGGGACCGACGAACCCTCAGAAACCCACTGGGATCCAAACGAATACTCCAGGAGTCCTGCATGCGTCTTCAGACATCCGTCTAGACTCGGCAGGAATCGGCACCAAAAAAAACAAGAACCCTTAATGAGTCATTCCGGAATCCTCGCGAATACCCGGGGAGGGGGAACAGTCGCGCTCGGTCCCTGTCGTCGCGGGCGTGGGCGGGCTCGCCGACGTCAACGCTGGAGGCGATTTGCACGGATCGAGGGCGGCTCTCGTTCCAAATGGGGCTCCCGCGTGACACGTCCTTGGCTTTTACGGTCCTACCTCGTCCCCGTTCTCATGGCTAGCAGCATGCATGGCTATCTCGTCTACCTGCTCGCCGTCGCTCCTTGTCAAAAGGGGGCTCTCGCTCATCTCTGAAGGACGCATGTTGCACAGTGAGGGAGAAACTCCTGTAAGGGCTTATGAGGAAGGTCCTTGGGCTGGGTGTGCGTCTTGAAGCGCGTCGTTGATGCAACTCGATTTTACTCTGGTGTTTCTCTTCCTCCTCCTCCTCCTGCTTCTCCAGCTCCTCCTCCTCCTCCTCCTGATCCGCCTCCTCCTCCTCCTCCTCATCCTCCTACCTCGTCCTCCTCCTCCTCCCCTGCCTCCTCCTCCTCCTCCTCCTCCCACCTCCACCTCCACCTCCACCTCCCTCCACTCCACCTCCACCTCCTCCTCCTCCTCCTCCTCTCCTCCTCCTCCTCGTCCTCCTCGTCCTCCTCGTCTCCTCGTCTCCTCGTCCTCCTCCTCCTCCTCCTCCTCTCCTCCTCCTCCTCCTCCTCCTCCTCCTCCTCCTCCCTCTCAATGGTCCGAGCAGAGAGGCCTGGAGGACCGCGCCGCACCGCTGATGCATCGGCGATGCATCTGCGACGTCGGGGCTGAGGAAAATGGGGCTCGGGATCGCGCCGAGCAGAGAGGCCTGGAGGACCGCGCCGCACCGCTGATGCATCGGCGATGCATCTGCGACGTCGGGGCTGAGGAAAATGGGGCTCGGGATCGCGCCGCATCGCAGATGCATCGGCGATGCGGAGCGATCCTCCGACCCTGTCCCTGGAGATCCGAGATCCTGCCTGTTGAAAATAAGTACGGGGTCCCCGAAACCCCGACCCTTTCCCGACGGCCAGTGCTTCATCCCGTGCCTTTTCCTGACGGCCCCATGAGGGCCCTGCGAAGGCAGCCCCAGAGGCCGAAAACTTCGGGAAACCCGATTTTGAATTGTGAAAAACCTGAGTGCTGCTTGTTTTCAAAAACGTTGGAGGTCTGGGCCGACTCCGCAACAATGTGATTACGATGTGTTTCTTGCACGAATGATTGCTGCAGCGGCAGAGTCGAGAACACACTGACAATGTAGCGCGATCTTCCCATCCCACCTACTCTGGCCCCACGTTGCTCGTTCCAGAAACCCTAGGTCCCCCAAATGTGCACCTCTTGGGCGCCAGATCTTTACTTCCACCGGCTCCCGTCAACGGACTAGCCGATGTGTTACGTCTGCTGGGGAATCCATCATCTGTGTACATCTGTATACACACATACTATTTAAGTATATATATATATATCAATATATGTATAAGTATATATATATGTATGCCCTGTTCGCCGACCCCGTGAAGGCGAGGCCCTTTCTGAAGACACTTGGAAGGCCTGAAGCATTCGGCGCGGAAGGGGGGGGCACCCCTGAGAGCCGCCGCAGCGTTGGCGCGCAGCGCTGCAGGAGGCCCATCACGGGCTTCCGCATGGCCGGCTCCATGCCCAGGTCTCCTCGAGGGAGGCGCGCACCAAGAGGGCGAGGCGCGAGGGGGGCCGGCCCTCCAAAAATGAAGGGAACCAGGGACACACAAATAAATACACACAAATCGCAGGATTCCCAATCTATCTATCTATATATCTATATATATATATATATATATATATATATATATATATATATATATATATATATATGCTCGCCCCCCCCCTATGATCTACCAAATGTCGTTTTGTAGCAAACGGCGCGCAGTGAATCAGCGAAACCACTTCAAAATCGGAGCTGCGCTCGCAAAGTGAGGCCTCCGCCTCACCACTTCTCCCACCTTCATCGTTGCCACGGCCGCATCGCCTTAAATCAGCACCACACCAACATTATCATCGTCATGACCATCACGATTGCAAGCTGGCCTGCCAATACCACAACGTTGCCATTACCGTCACAAACAGCATCACCACCACCTCCTGGACCACCATGGTCTCCATCATTATCTACTCTGGGCCACCACTACGATGGTAATCGTAATCATCGCTGCCCTCTGGAACACCACAACCATCATGTATATTACGTCTACCACGACAGCGACCATCCTCACCATTAGCACCTTCGCAGTCCTCACCATGGCCACCACCTGGATTTCCATCTCTGCCATCACCGTCTTCACCACTACAAGCTAACACCACTTTGATCACCTGCATCAAAATACCCTTCACGGGCTTCATTGCCGACGCAACCAGTACCACAGTCACCATGGTGGTGGTGGCAGTGGTGGTCCATATGATAGTGTTTGTGACGGCGATGGCAGCGTTGTGGTATTGACGGTCCAGCTTGCAATCGCTGGTTTAATGCGAGGCGGCCGTGGCAACGATGACGGCGGTGGAGGCGATCCAGGTGGCGGGGGGCGATGTTCACAATGGAGATGGCGGTGGTGGCGACGCCCTAGGTGTTTGTCACGATGGTGGTGGCGATAACGAGCATGACGGTGTTGTGGGATGATCATGGCGGTGGGCTTGGTGACGGCGCTTGAGACTATGAAGACGGTGGTGTTGCAGAGTTGGTTACCTGGCTACTGGTGGATACAATCGTGCTGATGATGATGGTGGTGGTCGTTGTTAGCCACGTGGTGGTAGCAATGATGGCCCATGTATTGTCGCAGTGCAGATGATGATGATTGTGGTGGCGAAGATGGTGGCAGTGGCCGACCAGGGTTCATTGTTGCTGATGCTACTAGCGACGATGACGATGCCAATTCTGATGATGGTATTGTGGAGCTGGTGGGCAGTCGGGTCTTGTTCATGCTGGTGGCGACGGTGGTCTAGGTGCTGGTGGTGATCGCGATGGTGGAAGTCCTGGTGTTTCTGAGGATTGTCATGATCGCCATGATGGTGGTGCTCATCACGGTCTTGGATGTGGCGACGATACTGATGGCTGTGGCCAGCTTGTGGTCGCGATGATGATGGTGTCGGTGATGGTGATGATGTTGATGTGGTTGTCGATGACGGATTAAAGCTAATGCAATCGGTCCAACTGGTATTAGAGATAATGCTAATAATGCTGATGGTGGTGATGA